AAGATGAAGGCCTTCAAGATAGCAGTGCCCCTTAAATTTAGCATCCTTCTCCTGACTGTCGACTTACCTGGCAGATTCACAGAGGCAACTTGCTCCTTCAAGCATGTTTTTCTTTTTCATCCTTCCATACTGTGTTTAAAGTTCACAGTGTCTAGGAACAACGTTAGGAAGAAGAAACACCACAGTAAGCACAGTTTGTGTGAAATACTGGTGCATTTATTGGTTGGCACTAGATTACAACCTACACTCTCATCAAAACTTGCATTCACCAGTTTTTAAAAGACAGTGGTGCCCTCCCCCTCACACACCATTCAAATTGAGAGACATCTTTTAAAAAGAGAAAGGAATGGCATTCTCAGATGCACGGGGCCAGATCATCAACTGATGGAAGCCAATCGACTTCCCTGGACTTCAGCGAAGCGGTGCTGCTTTACATCAGTTCAGGATCTGGCTCAACCCGAACATGGATTTCTTTAAAAAGTGAATTTAGTAATGGTACCACAGATGAACCTAGAGCAAACTCCTCCATGCCTTGTCTCTGGAAACAGTGAAGGATGAAAGTTCAAAATTATCCAGCTATCTACTAAACCTGTCCAGCCTGGAGAGAACAAGAACAAAAAGGTGTGTGTCTGAATTATTCACTGGCTTAAACTAAGATCTGGCCCTCGAAGAAAAACATGTTTTCCATTCAACAAACTATACCTTGAACAAAACAAGAAAAGTCACAAATGAGAGAATCCAAACCAAGGGATGAATAAAACAGGGACCTCTGCTGAAATACTGATTAAACTAATCTGACAATTCCATTTGAAAACTGAATTACTCGTCAGCAGTAACACAACAGCCAACATCGATTTTTCCAGTCAAGAACATCCATTTCTAGCATTAGCAGGAAAACTTGGGGGCTTACAGCGTGGGTATCGGGCATTACCAATCACACAAACCATTACTGTTCTTGTATCCTGCCCTCCCAGTACATTCCAAATGACTTAATGTGTCTACTACGTGCAGCTCCCAGAAAGAAACACAGAAACACAAGTGAATAAATGTAACTAATATTTGTAGAGTTATAGTGACCCAGTTTGGTCGTGAGGTATCGAGATTAGGTAAGGAATGATAGCAAGTTGTGCTCATCAGACTTACTGAAGTCAAATTTTGCTGTTTTACTATAAAGGATCCCTTGTTGCTGTTTTTTTATACCTATTCAGAGAGAATTTTGATCAGATCTGGGAATCTGTACTCTGTGCTGGGGTACAGATTTTAAGATTTTGCTGATGTGTTTTCGTGACAAGACCAGGCAGAGAATGCAAGGTGGAGCGCCTGTAGATTTTTGGCTTTTTACAAAAGCTAATACAGTATATACTATGACACACAGGAAGCTTAGTAAATACCATCATGTCCAAAGTACAGCTCCAAAGCTCTCGTTCCAGCTAAAGTCACAAAAAGGTCTTTTCACACAAGTGAAAAAACATGCTAACAAATGCACTTCATCTAGTTAAAGTGTTCCCTCCCAGCCCATCTACTCCTCTTCCTTGAGCAGGTAAAGGTATAATGACACTATAGCTACAACATCAGCGTACCTTTATATACCACCTTCCATCAGAGGATCTGAAAGCTCTCTACAAAGGGGGATGAGTTTTTAAACCCATTTTACAGGGGGCAAATGGGGGCACAGGGAGGTGAAATGAGTTGTGTCAAGTCAAAGGGAGTCCTTGGCAAACAGAGTAGAAGCAAGGTCTCCTGAATCCCAAATCCTCTGTTGTAACCACTAGATGATGCTGTCTAATTAGCAGGAGGGGCCAGCTGAGTTGTGAGGGGAAAATAACATGATCTGCAAGAGAATTGCAGAAAGTTGTTAATGTAAATAGCTTTATGCAGAAGTGTTTTTTAAACACAGCCTGCCCCAAAGTTTACTGCAGTGCGAAAGTCCTTCTAAAGGCGTCTCTGCACTGCAACAACAGCCCCGTGGCACCAAGTCTCAGAGCCCGGGTCGATTGACTCAGGCTGCGGGGCTAAAAACCGCAAAATTCCAGCTCAGGCAGGAGCTCGGGCTCTGATGCGCAGTGAGCGGGAAGGATCTCACAGCCCAGGCTCGACCCTAACCTAGCACATGGACATTGCTATTTTTAGCCCCACAGCCCAAGCCAACGGACACGTGCTCAGACTCTGTGCTGTGGGGTTTTCTTTGTAGAGCAGACATCAGATGACAGAAGACAGTACACATGAACTAAAGGACTAGATTGTCCTTTCTCTGTCATGCTATTGCCACTCATCTGTTCCAACTTCCTCTCTTTAATTGACACAAGTTGTGTGCAAGGGGCTGCAACTTGCTCAGCACTTTAGTTCTAAAATAGCTCTCCAGGTCCTGAAATGCAACATTTACTTCCTCTTCTAATCCAAACAAAGGAGCTCTGCAGAAAAGAGCATTTCCATCTCTTTCAAAGTATGTGCTGGATATGAACATTTGCTTTAGGATTTTAAAGTTACTGATGACAGCAATCACTGAGGCTCACATCCCCCATATGGAGAGTAAACCTAAAGAGATCCATCTCATGAAAATAACGACTTCCTTAAGCCCTATTTGTATTAGGATTTGGGGATCTCACTAAATCTGTGCTGGAAATATTTACCTGCTATTGTGCTTTTCAGCACAGTTACAGACAGTCTGACTGAGATTAGGGGAAAGAGGCCAATCGCGCTTTCTGTAATGGCAATGGAAACAGTTTAACCTTGTATACATTAGCCTACCTATGCTGTTTTCAGCACCAGTTCAGGACCACCAGCTGCTTTCAGCAATAGGTCAGTTTCATGGTGTAGATGGGGCCAGAGAGACCAAAAGATCCCAAGCAATCATTTCTCCTCAGTCACCTGCCACAGTATTGTTTTTAAACACCAGCCATGACTTCCACTCAAGGAAAAGTGAAACAAACATAGCACTTGCAAAACAACAGATCATCCACTTCCTTCTCAGCAAGAGATGGTCGTTGCAGATATAACAATGCATTTAGAATTGCTGCTTTAAAAGAAGGAACTAATGAGACGTGTATGTTAGTGCAAGAGATAAGATACGATCATGTTCTTTAATAATTAAGGACACTAAAAGCTCTTCTGTTTAAGCTCTGTCCAGCATGTATTAAAACATACCCGACTTTGCACTTTTATAGCAATCTCAAAGCACTTCACTAAAGGTGAGCAAATATCCTTGTATTTTTTGCAAAAGGGGAAACTTAGGCAGAGAGCGGTTGAGTGACTTGCCCAAAGTCAACTTAGAGAGTGTCAGTGGCGCAGTTGGGAAAAGAACCCAGACTGCTTGGCAATCCAGACCCAAGCTTTAATGACTAAACACCACCCCATACCTTGTATGATTTAAAAGAGGACATTGTGATAAATGGGAATTCCAAGAGCTTTGGCGTGATCTCTCTCAGGTGAAGTTTGGTTTACAGTTTGTTCAAGTGTTTGCCTGATCGGGGAAAAACTAGTAGGTCTACACTTACCTCCGGGTCCGGCGGTAAGCAATCGATCTTCTGGGATCGATTTATCATGTCTTGTCTAGACGCGATAAATCGATCCCGGAAGTGCTCGCCTTCGACACCGGTACTCCAGCTCGGCGAGAGGAGTACGCGGCATTAACGGGGGAGCCTGCCTGCTGCGTCTGGACCCGCGGTAAGTTCGAACTAAGGTACTTCGAATTCAGCTAGAATTTGCGTACCTTAGTTCGAAGTGGGGGGTTAGTGTGGACCAGGCAGCAACTGATGCTGACAAGCTCTCACTATATTTTAGTTGAGTTCTTGCTCTTCCTAGTCCAACGATACCATCTCTTACCTCCTGTGCCAACAGTCCTCCTCACTGAGGACTGGTCACAATCCTCTCTAGGCAGGACATTTTGGAGCAGATTCCCACACTAGTCTCTGCTGATCTAGAAGCGAAAGATCTTGAACTTCAATCCCCACCATAGCAGCACATTGTGCTTCTCCAGCATTGGCCCCAGCGTAGCTGTTTCATCTTGCAGCACAGCTGTTGCAGAGGGTACACCCAAACTCAGTATCTGCCTTTCCAGCACCCGTGTTACAATTAGTCATAACCCACTTAAGACAGAGGAACCAATTCCTCCTCCTAAAAAGGAAAGCAAATCCCAAAGTGCCCATTTTGACAGAAGCAAAAGAGCAGTGGATGCAAACAAAAGCTTCCATCTGGCTATAAAATATACCACCTTCAAGCTGCAAAGAGAATTACATGGACCTCATTCAGGACTTTCCTCAAATAAAAACCACAGTTCCATATATCCACTAGTTTCACATAATGTAAGTGCATACACAGACCAACCTCTCTAGGCAAGAAGTGGCATATTAGCAATGTTTTCAATCAAGAACTTATGCATGGTCTCCCAATGTTTTATTTCTCAGATCTGCATCTAATATAGTTAGAGATGCAAAAAAACAGCATCAACTCCCATGATTGAGGTTTTACTTTTTCATCGCTCCAAACAGTAGTGTTAAAAGAGCTTATTGAGTCACCAATATCCCTTCGCTAGATTCAACATTTTTATCCCCGCTCATTAGGTTTAAACTAATTGGTCAACACAATTCATCACTAATATTAACCCATTACTTCAACACTGTCTAGCAGGATAGAGCTTCCACAGCTCCAGATATACCTTCCTTTCACAGGAGATGATCACAGACTTATGCTAACCATGTCATCTAATTTCAAGAGAAACATCTTCTATAGCTTCACCTTGGGATTTTACAGTTGTGCTGAGGTGGAATATTTTAGCTAAATTAAGACTCCAATCTTAATTATGAGAGCGTAGGTCCCATCATTGCAACTCATGAATAAAGACTTTGCGGGGGAGGGGGGGGGGAGATCAGGCCCTCAGCATTCACATCTTTCAGGATCCCAATCCCTATACACACATGAATTGTCACACTATCAGCCCCATTCACTCTTATTAATTGAACCCAATTAAGGTATTTTGAATTCTTTAAAGTTTTACACTCCAGTTTTTACTTTACAAAGTAGATTTTAATCAAGTCAAGGTTTTGTCACACAATACACTTAGAGATACACACACCAAACACTCATATTTCCTAAGATCTTCCAACACGGAAGAAAGCAGCAAGGGTACTGTGGTCTCAGAGGCAGTATTTTGGGCTTCAGTTGCTAGATGGTATGTAATGTGACAAGAACAGGAATAAAAGTTTTTCCAGTGATGATAGGAAGTAGTTCCTCTATACAAAGCTACCATAAAGCAAGATGAAAAAAGCATGAACTCTCCCCTCATCCCCCTGCTGTGTAAAATACTGGATTTTGCACATCTCCAGTAAGCCATGGGTCTAAAACAAAACAAAACAAAAAAATCCATCTTTGTGGGGAGATCAGAAGATACTTAGCTTTATTCTTGGCAACACCACCTGCCAGTTTGCAGGATCATCAGCCCCCCCAAAAAATCAATTAATTCTCCTCTTCCTGTTTCCAAGGAAAACATACCACTTGCTGGGGCTTGAGATGCAAAGATCTTCAGTTTCATCATAACATGCGTCTTCCAAAGGTACTTATAAGTATGTACAATAATTTGCGTAGGGCACTTCTAATCCAAATGCAGATAATGTGAACAAGGGAACAAAAGGGAAGAGAAAACCATTAAATCTACACCAGAGGCTCCAATGAGAACACTTTTTAATCTGGCAGGTAGATTCCCCTTCCCCTCCACGTTTTAATCTTTAGAAGAACTAATGTGTTGAACTGATTTTTCCAGCAGCTCAACCATTTTTATTCTATTATCCTGATGCACAAATACCTGCTGGTTTCAAGTAGACCATCACAGCAGCCAAATCAAACTAAAGCTTGCACCTGGGAAAATACTGCCTGAAGGAAAGCATCAGTATTCTGGCATTGCTAGGGGTAAACTGTTCTAATGTCGGCGTTTCAAGTCTAATTATTCACAAGAATATCATCCCTCAAAGACACTTTCCCCGCCCCACACTGTCACAAAGGAGACCCAAATGTGAACATGCTTGCTCCGCAAGCTAGCAACAATCCAGTGCCCCAAACTATGAAGCTCGCACAGCCGAACTGAAACCTCTCACAGGCATGGGGCAAGACATCCTAATAAAGTCTGCCATGATGAGATAAGGGAAACCACACAGAAGATACTTTATTACAGAAAGGCCTGAGCACAGAGTATTACCCCTCGTGGAAAGCTGGTATATAGCTCGCCACATGTTTTCCCCCCCATGACTGAACAACAGTATGGCTTGGGGACATTTATGTTTGACAGATGGCCAAAACCAAGCGAGGAGGGAGAGCGTTGCTGCATTTTTCTTTTTAAAATCAGTTACCTCCCAGTAAAACATTTAGTGTTTTTACCATCAGCAGTAACTCCGTAGTCATTGCAACCCATGATTTCCTTGAATTTTGACTAGTGTAGGAGCGCTAACTTCCCGTGTGCTTCAGTGGTTGACTTTCAGAAGGCTTTTAAAACAGGCTCAGTGGCAGATGTAGGAAAAGCATTTACACTTTCTACCCTGATTAAAAAATACCAAAAAAAAAAAAATCCTAAACACATAGGTAACTGTTTTCTCTAGGGATCACATTCTAAATCTGCCCTGTGTCAGGTTTGAAATAACCAGAACGCTACTGAGAGGACATATTGCTGTGGCATTCACCATTGTGGTTGGCAAATTTATTTCAGAAGTAAAAATGGCCAAGGACAATATATTTTTGGGAATGGAGATTGGGGGGAAGGGGAAGAAATAAGATGAGAAATTGCTAGCCATAATGGCATATAGATTAATAGGGAAAAAATAAAAATTATGGCTAAGTGTGTAAGAAACATATATAGAAATAATGAGAGGCTGCCCTATATTTAAAACAAAAAACATTGCGGGGGAGGGGGGAGGGCAAAATCAAGCTAATCACTTTATACAAGGATGATGCAGTTTTGTTTACTGCTAAGATGGACTTTTTTCTTTTTAAAAAGCCCTAATATGAGTTAATTAACTAAAGGTTAAAGCCAAAAAAGATTTACAATAACTAATTCCAAAGACTCCAAGATACCGTATTTATTTTACTCTCACAGACTTTCTAAATGGCGATACTAAAGCACAAAAATAATGCCACAGCAGTCATTGTTCCACTGTATCAAAACAGGGTTTGAGAAAGAATTCCAAGAGCCTGAAGCACACTTCCTCCTTCTAAGAGAAGGGCTATTCTCTGTTCAAGCCTCTTCTACACTGGTGCTAACACTACTTCAGCTCCGCCAGGGTTAGTTACGTTTGGCCCCATAATGCAGAGGACCCTCTGGCTGCCACTAGCATTTTAAGCCCGGTGTCAGTTAAAACTGCTCTGAGCAAGGTTAAGCAACACGGAGCCAGCTTTTCAATAGATTTTGAGGTGCCGGAAGATGGAGATAGGCTCCCAGGGGGATTTTTGACAATCTGGTCCACGTGCTTAAAATGCAGGTGGACAGCTTGCAACCCATCTAGATTAGGGCTCCCAACTTTGCTAACTTTGGTGGAGCTGAATCAGTCTGCGTGACAGTGGGAAATGTTTGCCAAGTTTCCCTAATGTAGACAAGCCCTATGTCTCCATGCCCATGCATCACTGTCACCCTCCAACCCTGAGCCCTACTGTAGGATGCAAAAGGAAAACCATTATTTCAAGATCTCAATATCCAGCAACTTTTCCTCCCCTGTAAGCAGTCTTGCCTCCCAGTACCCCAGTATCTCCTCTTTATATATGTACGGAATAAAGGTGCAGCTGGCAAAACATTGGGAAAAATGATCAGGTGAGTGAATTTACTATACTGCACTGAATTCCAGGCCTCCAATTCTCATTAGAATCCTGGATTCAGGGGTGCTGAAGAAAACCTAATATTACACACAATAATGAATCCCTGGTGTCTGAGAGGTGGAAAATTCTGACCCAAAGCAAACACATCAAAACCTTCCTAGTGGTGGCTGCAGCTTTGTAGCTCCAGACTTCCCAGACTAAGTGAAGATCTGAGACACATCCTAGCTCTAGATTTAGGGTCAATACACAACACTGTTTTGGGAGGTAACAATTTCCACCCTTGCTAGCACGTTCAGAAGCACCGGTCTTAACAATGCTGGAAGTCCTAGTCTAGTTCGGAAGCCATTTTGTGCACTGGGTCAGTCAGACTTGCTCTGGAGAGGTTTAACTGACATCATGCTGCCAACAGCTGCCAGAGCCCCCATCTTAAAATCCTGATGTGTTTGCATATGAAAGGTAACTCAAGTATGAGTCCCAAATCAATTTAGTATCATTTTGGACAAGATTACTTACGCTAATATACCACATGGCTATACGAATTGTTACAGAAGAACCTCAGACATTGGGAAGATGCGAACTCTAGGTGGTGGTAAGGGAGAAAGATTTATGTAAGTCAGGAACAAGGCTTGTTTTAAGTACACAGCTTTTGAATAAAGACTACTTCCACCCCAGGAGCTCAATTTTCTATTTCCAGTTAATAAGGCATAACACCAGCCATTCAATGGAATTGCATTAACAGCATCAATTCATGCCACATTAAAATACTTTCTTGGCACAATTTATTTTTCTGACCCAAACAAAGAAGCCACTAGCAAGTTATTAACAATATTCTACCCTAAAGTGTCAGTTTAACAGCCCTATAAAAACATTTTTAGATTTAAGGAAACAAAAATGTGCATGCTATTGATATTAAAACTGCAGTTACTCTTTCAGGAGTACCAGCTGCTTTTTTGCAAAGCATTTGTAATGCATTAATCTATACAGTGAAGGACAAAAACTCAACTGAAGGCAGTAGATGGCTGTGTTGTTAGGCGCCGCTAACGGCTCAGAAAGAGAGGATTCTTACTTTCTTGTCCATTTCTGGATATACTATTCAAGCCCTTTTTAGAGTTATGTTCAGGCTGATCAACAAAAACTAAGAAGGGACTGTACATTTGTTTCTAAGTTGAAGTGAACAGAACTGGTGTAATTTAGGCTGAATTCCAGATGCTCAGTTTCAAACTACTTCTTGAATAATGCCCCTCAGCCTTTTCTTGTGTGCCTTTTCATGTTGGTGATCACTGGCACTGCTTTTGGCCTTGCTATCCCATACTGATGAAAGTAGGGAGAACAAGTAAAGGAACAGAATGGGATCTCAAATTGAACAGCCTCTTGCCAAAGTAGTGAAAATACCAATTCCCATTACCCCTGCTCCATTGATAGGTCTATCAGAATTTTATATTGTAAGTGCTTAATGGGAAGAAAGAATGCTCTTGAAAAGTATGAGTATTTATTAAAATAATTTCTGTTAAATATAAGGAAGAGTACTGCAGATTTAATTTCACATCTTGGCTATGCTCTGACAAAGGAGAAGTTACCAAATGCAGCAACTAGCTCCTGTCCCAAGCCAGGGATTAACTAATGCCCCTCCCAAACCTTCCCCTACCCTCCCACCCTCCAGCCCCAACCCTTTCCATTTTATTTCCCAACTAGACAACACTGTTGGCAAATCAAGACAGCATGAAACTTACATCAGTAAAAAACAAACAAACAAAAAAAACATGAATTGTGCCAATGCATCAGGGCAACTATCCTATTAAATGATGTACTTCTTCTCCACACTAGCATTTCTGCTTGGGAGCCAGCTGTACCTTTGTCACAGAGGATGATAGTTTTAACATTCTGAGTATGCTCTGTGGTGCAATTGTAAGTGCTGCAATGACACATACAAGAGATTCAACACCTGATTTCCCCCCCCCCCCAAGACTTCTTTTCAGGGACATCCCCCACAGGTTTGTGCAATGACACTCGAAGTACAATCCGATGCTTTAGCACAAATTACAATACCCATTTGAGCACAGTGTAAGGCATGTGGACAAGAAGAGACATCAGCAATATGCAGCAAGTGGGAAAGAATTCCAAAATAGCAGGGCAGCATTGGTGCTTGAAGCTCCAGCTGGTTAGATTTTAACCCCACTTTGAATCCCTGATTCCTACCATTGAGGCCAAAATTCAGTTTCTATCATAGTGTTTCTGAGGCTGTTTGCTTTTGGCTGGGCGGTAAAGACAATTCTTTGCGTTTCATTCTAATATAAAAGCAGAAATGTTGGCTGAATCTATAGGAGAAGGAACTGAGCACCAGGGATGTCTGAAGGTGATCAAAACTTTGCTCTGACCTTAAAATGTCACTGCACTAAGTTTCAGGGGCTTATGGGGGGAGTAAACTGGCCCAGCCACTAGCATGGTCACAAAAATTTTTGTATTTAAAAAAACAAGGCAAACGGATTAATTATGAAACCCTCTTTTCACAAGTAGCCCAGGTTTTAAAAAATTCCCGCAAAATTAAAAAGTTAGATTCCTCCATCTAAAAAAATTGTTTATACATATGCGCTGAAAGTGACCACCACAGGTCTGAACAGCACCTTACAGTACAGACTAAGACTTAAAGAATTGATCTCACATTTGCAGTCTTTAATTAAAAAAAGAAAAATGTCTGGCTATGGCTGGGATGACACATATGGGAACACGTCAGAACACAAGGCAGAGGCAAAACGAGCAGCGTCGCTCTCCAGGCCAGGGTAGCGGTGTAAAGGGAAAGGGGCACTTCATGCACAAAATGTATTTTACAAAATACATATCCAAAAAAAGCAAAAAACCCCACCTTGCACTAAACTGCAACACTCTTAACACTTGCTTTGCCACAGGCCGCTGCCCATGCCTTGTTCGACAGAGGAAGCATGTGAAAGGGGGTGGGAGAGGGAGGAGGGGGGAAATCCATGTTTCAGTCTATTTTCCAAAACTCTCTTTTATAGGGACGTCTTCAGTCATCTGATGTCAGAGACAGAGCTCTCGTTAGAGTCAGTGTATGAAGCGGTCATGACAGGAGTGCCGTTGTTTGCCAAACAGCCTTGTCTCAAGGTTTCAAAGTATGAGGCCTGCACTGGTTTGTGGGACTTCAGAACTTCTTTAGCATCTTCTATCTTAAACCATTCCCTTTTCCTTCCTGTGGGTAGAGAAATAAATTAGTAAACGCAGTAAGAGGACTAAAGATAGACATTTATCCCTTCTGTGAAGTTTTTGCTGTTAACTAGCATTCTGTCCATGTCAACTGTGATTAAAGTGGAACAATGAAGTGGGCTTGCAGCCCAATGCCAATTCAAAAATCTCAAGAGACTTCTCTCATTAGTCTTTTGATCTCATAGCGACTGAAGGGTCCCCCTAGCCAAGTATAACACAGATGCCTCCAACCTTCCACAAAAGATGTTCAAAGTAAGTCCACCATCCAATTGATGGGGGTTTCGGATCCGGAGATTTATTTTTTTTAATGTTATTTCCATGATTTTTGAGTGGGATAGAAAAATATAAAAACACCACCGATTTTAAGGGAATTCATAACAAATTTTGAACTTCATCTATCATCTAACAATTTTCTCTTTTTAAATGACATGCTCCTGAAAAGGAGGAAAAGATGGCACTCTCTGAAACCTGGCTTGGCATGAGAAAGTGCTTTTTCTCCAAGGCATCTCAATCCTCTTGTACAGCATTTGTCTCTTTGTATTGAGACCTCTCCTGAGGAGAGCCTGCAAGATGAGCCCAATTATATGTGGGTTTTTAAGAGTGTTAGCAAGCATCCTGCAGGAATTACACTGACAAACTCATTTTCGTTTGGGGATCTGATAAGGATTTAAACGCACCGCTTTCAGGAGTGAGTGGTCAAACAGAAGTGCAAGAATTAAACAAAACATGAGTCTCTATATAAACCCACCGAGATGACTCAAAGGACCAGGGAAGGAAGAAGGAATCAACAACATGATAATATTTTTGTTTTCAAAAGGACAAGTCAATAGAATTCAACTATTCTAACAATCACAGTAAAGGGCGGGGAGTTGGCATGCTTCTGTATGAGAGGGAAGACGTACACCAGTAATGCTAACAAGCATGAAGGTCTTACCAATATTGACAGAGTCCTCCCAGTCTTCCAACACGTCTGTGACAATAAGTGCATAAACATATGTTCTGTGTTTCCTGTCCCGATTCTGAAAGGCAAAATGGACAGGATTATGGCAGAGCAGCCAAGAAGACAACACCTAAATAAAATCCTAAACCCTGTTTTTTTATTGGGGGGGGGGAGGGAGAGAGGGGGGATGGACAACTTAAAGCAGCCTCGAGAAGGTGGGATAGTGCAAGTCTTCCTTTAAGTAGTGACCTTATTTAGTCTACAAAACTACAATCAGTGGTCTCCCATTTCAAGATCAAGAAAGTTGTTCAGAAAGGGTTAGTGTGTATAAAATCAAGGGACTACAATAAGTGGCATTAGGATGAAGTAGCATAAAATAGTCCACACACAATAAATAGGCCCAACACTATTACATGAAGTCGTGCTCTGTACTGCCGGTGAATGGCGTTATTTAATAAGAGATCTGATTTTGATTGCTGCTGATCACCAGCTATCCCACCTGAAGTGGAAACTGAGCACTCAGCACCTCTGGGGGGGGGGGGGGGGGGGGGAAATCAAGCTCCCCCCCCTCCCCACACACACACGGTGCCTTCCCTCCAAACCTGGTTGTCTAGTTTGGCCAACATGCATACTGCTGCAAGCTTAGAAAAAAGTTTCACTAAAATGACATTTTTGCAGCAAGACTTTACAACCTGAACAGATATTTCAATAAACTTACCTCAAAAATTCCTACTAATCTTCCTAATGTCCCTTTCACTCCAGCCTACAGAAAGTACAAACAGAAGGAGGTTTAATGTTTTTAACTACAGCTCAGCTCATTTCCTTATTTCCAGTGTGACAGCAAGGTTTGTAAAAACAGGAAGCAAATGTTGAAAGCAGTCAATTCACATGAAAACAGTGTAATCACCAGAGGGATGATGTAACTGTAGCACGAGTCCCAAAAGCCTGGGATCCATTTTAGAGAGAAAAATCAGTTTGACAACTGCATATTGAGATACCCTCGATGATCCAACAGCTCTTATATGGCAAATTGAACAGAACAACATGCTCAGCACAGTTTGAGCCCAGATAAAACTTGCTTAAAATAAAGGGAAAAAGGCTGAAGATCTCTAAGATCTGCAGGCTTGGGTTTCAAAGCTGAAAATAAGTTTGTGTCAGATGCAAAAAGCAGTCTGCAGTAACACCACCTGTTCTACAGTAAGCTTTTATTTCCTTGCAGCTGAGCTGAAGAAAATGTGGGTCGGAATTTCAGTTGTTTTACTTTGGTCTACTTGGGTTCAAAGGCTGAGTCCATACTAGAAAACTTTAGAGTGAGAAACCTCAGGTAAAATCAATTGAATCCTATCTACAATACAGCTTCCATCACAAATACTGGTGGTGAATTACAAGATATGAAATTTGCTATTTTAGATAATGGCCAAATATATCCTTAAGGGCTTTTTGGGCAAAATGTTTGTTTTACCCTTTCCTTTACCCGCATTGTTGGGTATGTAAGTCTGTGGACTTAATTCTCTGCTATCTTATAACTACCATAGTAGTGTGGATGATCAAATTTATAGATTAAAAAGAAAATCGGACATGTATTTAAATTGGATTTGTTATTTAAATTAAGTAAAATTTTAAATACATATATTTAAATTAAATTTAAAATATCAACATATTATATGGCCTAACCTTACAATATCTATTACAATAATTTTAAATACATTAGAACAATTAAAAATAATCACAAGATTAAAATAATAGTTGCGATTAATCAGTTTTATTCATACTGTTACACAATAATAGAATACCCACTCAAATTATGCAAAAAGCAACAAAGAGTCCTGTGGCACTTTATAGACTAACAGACGTATTGCAGCATAAGCTTTCGTGGGTGAATACCCACTTTGTCATGCGTCTGACGAAGTGAGTATTCACCCACGAAAGCTTATGCTCCAATACATTTGTTAGTCTATAAGGTGCCAAAGGACTCTTTGTTGCTTTTTACAGCTCCAGACTAACACGGCTACCTCTCTGATACTTGACATTCAAATTATAAATATTTTGGATATTTTTCTACATTTTCAAATATATAAAAGTACTGTAGTGCCATCCCTAGCATGAAAGTGCAACTTACAAATGTAGAATTATTATTTTTGTTTTGTTTGAGTGCAGTTATGTTAAAAAAGGGGGGGGGGTAAAACTTTAGAGCCCACAAATCAAAGCATGAAAGGGCATATGAATGTTGATGTGCCAGATGTGCTAAATACCTTGTAACCCCAGCTTTAAAGTACACAGGATTAGTTAGGGTAGTTTAAAATTTAGGGTTCCCCATTACTGTTTCTAACCTTCCTACCCTACCCTTCATTAGCAATTAATTTTGCTAGCAATGAAGGTTACAGCAGATGAAAAGTACATTTTAAGTTACCACTGATGTTTGCCACCTGCAGGTTCAAATCAGTTCTTATAAACACATGGGATCCTTACAGCTTCGGTTCAACAGCCTGGGAAATCTTTGTAGTCACATCCAATATTTAAAGTCGGAGTACTTGTATTTTTGTATATCTAGCGAATAAGGCATTTACATACCACGATGACTGTGATAAGCTAATTATAATTCAAGGTTAATTGTACTACAGTGGAACTGGAGACACATGAAATTCAAATGCATCTGTGCAGACAGCAGATTTTCTAATTCTTCATATGCTCTATTCTTACATGTAAAACCAGTGTTGGAATTCACATCAAATATTTCATTAGCTGATGCAAGATAAAACAACCTCTCATAAAAGGATGAATTCAAATAGTGAGAGAAAAAAAGTGAAAATGGCTGCACAAGACTATTATATTTAAATGTAGAACTGTGTAGAAACCAGAGTTTCTTTCCTGTAGGAAATTTCACATTTCATTCTGGATCTGAACAAAAAGTTAGAAATGCATTTTCCTATGGAATGGAAACAATTGAAAAAGTTCATTTCAGGAGACCTGAAATGGAATTTTTTCAACATTTCCAGCCAGTTCCTTTGCACCCTAGGGTGCCCGCCATCAGGCTGGCAGCCCAGAGAGCTGGGTAGCCAGCCACCTGAGAAGACTCACTACCAGGTGGGAAGCCTAGGGAACTAGGTGGGGAGATAGCCAGCTGAGGTCCTGAAATCCTGGGGAGCCTGTCAGGTGGGCTGCCAAAGTTCCTGCAGGCCCAGGGAGCCAGGAATCCGCAGCAGCCCAGGAGGTGGGCTGCAAAGGAGCCAGATGGATCTACCTGCTCAGCCAATTTACCACCTCCCTATATGTAGGAGGTGGATGCAGTTGTCCCAAGAATGTCTGGGGGTCAATTCTCATCAGAAAAGAGCTCCTACTAGTGCCCCCATAACACAACAATCCAATTACTGCCCTTCAAAAACTTCTGAAATCAAGCGATGGGATGAATTATTTTAAGGCTTACAGAATAGTCCTGAGTTCCAGGCAAAACGGATACTCTGATAAGCCATCGCTTTGGACCACTGCCTCTGCCAAATTAGCGTTCCAAACTGGGCACCTCAGCTTCCCAAATCCAGTAACAGAATATGCCCATCATATGACAGGCCCCCAGGCTAGCATTTTAGCACGTACAAAGTAGTTCTGTGATCATAAGACTGAGATTTCATATTTTCTGTAAGTATTATACACTGCACAATTATAACTGGCATATTGGAAGATAGCTAAGTAGCATTTAATGATTGCATTCGCTGGATTAAGAAGTTATAATCAGCTGCTGCAGTGATCATATAGTCCTCTACCAGGTAACTACACACAATAGATCACTCTTCTGAAGTTCATTCGAGAGGAGTCTTCATCATGTCAGCATTTGACAGATTGAGGCAGAGGTGGAATCTGAAATCACTAGAAATACCACTGGGTGCTGCAGTGGTCAGCCGTTCCTGTAACCCTGCTCCTTTTGGCACTTGTGATGTTTATTGTTTGTTGAGCAGCATTCAAGCAGGCAGGTACTTCACTCAAAGCAACTCAACCCTGCTAGGCTGCCACAGTTTGAATTACAGTCTCATTCGGCAGCAATACATGTGAGCAAGCAAACACCAGCTGAGCAAGAGGGGATTATCTCAGCCAGCCCAAACCAGTTTCTTCACTGCAAATGGAGTCCATGCCAAGGCTTCCTTTCAACCACTGAGCTGTCATGGAAAGAGAGCAGCTTCTCCAAGGCTCTCAGCTGCCAGAGAAAGGGAGGGTCAATGCAGATTTATTTTAGGATTTGAAAGGTGAAGCCATGGATCTGTTCAACGAACCTTTGACTTCAATATCAAATAGCTTAATTATTAATAGCGATCTGGTCATAAAGCAGGGCTGTGTCCCCAAGTAGAACATGTTTCACTAGCCTGGTTAAACTCTATCATTTGTCTTTTGCCAGCATCATATTTTGCTATAGTCTTGATTATTAGTAGCTCAAGTTCAGTGTGCCATGTTACAGCTTGGGAACAAGAAAACTGAGTAGTTTCTCCTCTATTTCAAAGATATGAGCAGATGGAAAATGCTATCTTCATAGAAAAACACAAACAAAAGAACACCCCAACAAAAATAGACCTCAGAAGAACTAGTGGGCTTTGGGAAGAGAGGTTCTTTTTAAAACATAACCATTTTATTCTTTCCATGGTATGCAGGCAAATAATTGCTATAAGAGACAGCTGGGTGCTGCCAAGGATTTTCACAAGCACAATTAACCCCACCTGCATTTGAAACCAAATGCCATGGGCCTAGTTATACAATGGAGGTGAACAAAGTACAAAGTTCAATACCCTGCTCCACAATCCTCCTCACTACACAACTGGGGGAAGGAAGACAATCTCAGCTCTAACCTTATCTGACTTTCAGCACAAAGCATAATATGAGGGGAAGCAGGAGTAGAAATTTTTGAAAAAACTCTCAAGCGTTCTTCAAATACTTGCAATATTTTAGTTGAGTTTTAAATACTTCAAAGGTACATGAACCCGCTTCTTTTACAGGAATAAAGTAGGGTGCCAATGTGCGGTTAGTTAATTTAAAAAATGGCAGTTATTTCCTAATACAGATCTTTATGGAAGAGTTAAAAAGGAAAGACATTTTGATATTAAGAGGCTTAGAGTGTATACAGCGGGTGGTATACATAAGGATTTTTAATTCTGATATGTAGATTTTGAGGACCTCTGAATAGATACACAGAAACTGCTGTATTAGACCAGACCAGGAGACCACTTAGTCCAGCATCTCGTCTGACAGCAGACATTTCCAGATGCTTCAGAAGACAATGCAAGAAATTCCATAGTTGACAAATATGAAATAATTTGCCTATGGGGGAAGTTTCCTCCAAACTCTCAACAGTTAGCTGTTGACTTATGCCCTGTAGCATGATGGTTTATAACCGTTATAAAAACATTTTAAGTGTTATTTTATGCAATTGTGGACCTCCTTGTTATCTATATGAACATCTAATCCTTCCCAAATCCCTGAACAGCTTGTGGCTTCAGTTAATCTGTGGAGCTCACTGTTAGATATCATGCATGTTATGTAAAATAATATTCTTTTATCAGTTTTTAATGTGTTGCCTTTTAATTTAATTGAATGTACCTCATTCTTCTAACTGAAGAAGCATCTACAGGAGTGCTCAATTTATTTTTTCTATAGAATTCTGTATACCTGTCACCTCTCCTTCCAGAACAATCCCGTATGAGGGGAGCGCTAAATGATAAGAAGTCTTTCCATGCCTCTAATTATTTTCATGACCAGTCTCTGGATATCCACACAGGATTTAAAAAACAAAACAAAACAAAACACACAAAAAAACACACACCTGTTTATTGGGCCAAAACACTATTTTAATTTGTTCCCCAATAAATGGGCCTCAATGATTTGAAAGGTACCATTAAAATCTTCTATACCAACTCATGGACAATTCTGTAAGGACATGTCTTTTCTGAAGCTCTGTTTTTTTAAGAAACTGCATTTTATTAACTATACAATGTAAAATTAAACTTAAAACAATAGAGCTTCATTTTAACTTCTTTCAGTTAAAGGTCTCGGACAAAAGGCAGTGCTTCTCTTGAACAAGAGAGCCTTTTTTAAACAACTGTACTACCTTTCTTCTCAATTCCTATTTTCTTCCACTGTCTAACTTTGGCATCATGCATGACCCTTCCCCTTTCTTCTCCTCCCGCAACTATCTCGTCTTCAAACCTATTGTTTCGTTGTCTTCACATCACACCTTCATTTCCTCCCACCTAACACTAACAAAACATTTTCTTATTTTAAAAAAAACAGGATACCTGCATTATATTTGGGGTGTGTGTACAAGAGAAGTACCAGCAACCATTTGAAAAGACATTTTAAATTCTAGTAACAGTAGCCAGGAACTGTATAACTTTATTAGATACAAAACAAACAGGACACAAAAGACTACTGAAAGTGAAGGCTGTATGGGGAATGGAAGATTGTCTCTTCACAGCAAGAAATGAGATGGGACAGTCTTAAACTTAAACCATTGTTTAGCTTTTTTGGGACCTATGAGACATACCATGTCCATATTACTAAAGAGAATTTATGTATTTTGCACAGTTAGATGAAGGAAAAAGATTATCATTAGACATATATTTGTAAGTTTCTTAAATAGATACCAAGACCCCCATTCAATCTTAATTCCATTTGTGATGAGAATATTCTGTTCTGTGCCCAACAAATATCCTGTAGTGTTCAATTTAGTAGTTATACATTTATAGAACTGTAGTCAGTTCTCTATTATACATGAGCTTTGCACTTTGCTTTAAATGATTTTTACCCTTAAGGATATGAAGATAGAAAAGTACAGTAACAGACAATGTCACTAAAAATGCAAGCACTATTAGTACCTCTAATAAATTGCAGGTATACTGAAAAATGAACCAACAGACTGAAAATATTTTTCACAACATGCAGATTATTTTGACAGCAGGGGAAGGAAAGGAAAAACAAGAATGGAAAAGGATAAGAAAACAGAGCCAACTACCGACCATAGAGTGATTCCAGGTGTTCTGTTCTTGTTGGGTACATACCTCTTCACAGACTTCCCGCACAGCAGCCACGTTGGGCTCCTCCTCGGGTTCCATGCCACCTCCTGGGACAATCCATCTGTCTGGATGGCGACTACTGCTCACCAAGAGCACCTGCCAACGAAAAGGGTTATATTTCAAAGCAAAACAGAGTGCAACTGATATGTGTACTCTCATGTAGTATGCTTTTGTGGGACCTGGCTTAAAAAAATATAAGTTCTCATATATGACCCCTAAGACTGGTCAAATTGGGGTTCTGAAAAATATTCTGCTTCTTCCTTCTGAGGCCGAGCTTTCCCTAACCCCATCCTATTTAGACAGTTGCACATACTCTCTATTTAGTAAGCTACTCCAAGTTCTCCAAACTACTCCAACCACTACTACTCTGGAACAAGGATACTCAAATCTTGAAAAGACAAAATAAATGGAGGCTGAGCACCACAAAATTAAGGTGAGCAATTTCACACGGCATCACAAAGCGCATCATTGCAAGTCAAAAGAACAGGAGTACTTGTGGCACCTTAGAGACGAACAAATTTATTTGACCATAAGCTTTCGTGGGCTACAGCCCACTTCATCGGATGCATGTAGTGGAAAATACAGTAGGAAGACACACACACACACACAACAATGGGTGTTACCATACACACTATAAGGAGAGTGATCAGTTAAGGTGAGCTATTATCAGCAGGAGAGAAAAAGAACTGTTTGTAGTGGTAATGAAAATGGCACAAATTGGACACCATTAAATTAGGCTTGAATAAAGACTGGGAGTGGATGGGCCATTACAC